TTCTGTAATCAAAAAAAAAAGTATACCGCCGTCATATGAAGTCACTCAAGGGGTCCACTGATCAGCCTGCTAAGAGACAAGGCAATATTCACAGTGGCAACATTATGCAGGGGAGATTTTGTGTTTGTGGGTAATGGTGGGTCTATTTCTCCTATGTTGTCCATTAATAGTGATTAATACTATAGAATTTTATCGCTGTATCGCAGTATGTGGACCCTTTGGGGCGATGTGCGGTTATATTGAACGAACGCATTCCCTTCGAGAGGCTAAATTATTTCCTTGCATCAGTGGCTCGCTGTTTGATTGGGTCTCTCTGAAACTTGATTCACAGGCGTGTTTTCGGAAAACCTTCATTTTGAAACTACTTCTAATACATACATATCAAATCATTCGCCTCGTGGATCCAATATTTTAACAATAAATGGTCACTGTATTGAGAAAAATAAGAGAACATTCTCGTTCTTTCATTGATTTTTACAGAATGATTGGAGGTACCACCGACAGGATCACAAACTTAACTGCAGTTGCCAATTTGCTGTGGGAGCCAGCCTTCCTTTTTATGTTGTATAGCAAAGAATATTTAATAAAGTCCATATAGAACTTGACTGTGGCTACCTCTGTCTCTGGAATTTGAAACACTTCTACAAGTTTTAAATGTTTTGCTGTAACCAGAGAGAACACGGCTTATGGATATTACATAGAACAGAGGGATTCACGCATCATTTAAACTATATAGTTGGTGATGCAAGGAACGAAGAAATTCCCAAACACGTATGAAAAATTGGAACACAGAACTTTTAAAAAATTACTCTCATCAAATATGCTGGTGGTTTTTCATTTAAATGGCCTTTGTTCCGTTCCCCGGCGATAAAATATAAACTTGACACTGTAGTTAGTATAGTTGGATCTGTGAAGATGTGTAGTCGTCAAGAGGGGTCGCTACGGTTTTAAAGTTAGATAATTAGGTCATCCAAATTAATCATTATTGATAAGGGTGTTCTTTTTATACTCTTTTTATTACTAAACTTATTCATTTATCTATTCATGCATTCATTCATCAACTCTTTGACTGACAAATCATGCAATCGCCAACGATCTTTAGTCACAAATTTGAAGCTTTGCCGTTATGACATTCTAACAAGAAGGCCGTTTCCAATTGCAATGCATCCAATTGCAATGCATTTAATACAATAAACTGTAATTGATAAATGCTGGTGTTGACCTTTTACGTTTCA